AAAAACTTCTTGGGAAAATCTTCCTTCAAGATAACAATTCACAATTAATGGATGAACGGTGAAGTATCGCGTCACTGTAATCTGATTACTTCATTCCAGGAGCAATCAGGGTTTTAAGCCTGGCAGGCCACCAGGCTTCACTTGCCTCCCTCCAGACTGAGAGGGATGTGAAGGGAACAGGCATAAATACTCAACAAACTTCTTCAAATGAGGAGTCTGTTTTTGGGATCAATGATGTACTTAATTTCAATTTGAATTGAATTTTACAATATGCATAAATTTAAAACAACAAAAAAAGTTTTAGAAAGAGAAGTTTTCATTTGATTAAGTTTTATATGACAGAATATGCAGAAGAAATGGAATTAGGCTTATGGGTGAATTATACCATTATTCAGGTGGTGCATCATATTTGAAATGCAATTAAATAAAGTGAATATTAAAGTAACTAATTACTTTTGAAAATTAGCAGAAAAGTAAGAGGATTACTGCACTTCTCAGACAGACAGGTGGAGTTCTGACCTCCAGCTCGCTGGTGAGTCGTCCGATGAAGCGGTACTCCGCCCTGCGGTGGACGGCCTGGATCAGCTGCTGCTGGCTGACGCCGTCATGGAAGATGGGCTCCCACTGGCTCGAGTCCTCCAGGTCAAAGTTTATGTCCTGCTCACAGCAGAGGGAGTCTGGCAATAGTACTGGGGGGTGATCTGGACCGGTTCTGACTGGTGCTGGGTGGACACACCTTGCAGCCGGCGTGGCAGATCTGCCGGTTGACATAGTAGTTGAAGGGGTTCCACACGCTCTCGATGCCGTGGAAGCTGTCGTGTACGGTCGGATAGCTGCAGCCGGTCAGAGGGTCGATGAAGAAGTTCTCCTCGATGCTGCGCCGGCCCGACAGAACCAGAACCCAGCAGTGGACCCGGAAACCAAACAGGGGATCTGGAAGATGCATGCTCTTTTCCTGCTCATGGAAACAGAAACCAGGATGATGAGGTAAATGGACAGACAGAAGGACTGGACCAGGAACCAATCGATTAATCACATTAATTGCAATTAATTGTGCTTAGTAAATTATTCAAATAATTGTCAACTAATTCACTAATGAATTAATTGACTGGAGTATACAAATGCAAAAAAGCCCATATGCTGAGAGAATAACAGAGCAGTAGGTAAGCAAAAACTGTTTTGTATTTAAAGGTGCAGTACACAACTTTTATTGCCATCTGTCACCATGTTGTAACAGTTTGTTATGACACAGATAATCTGTGAAATGATCACTCTCCTCCACCTTAATCCTGAGCTGCTCCTGCCATCTGAGGAAATGCACCAAAAACAACCAATCAGAGCCAGGAGGAGGGGCTTAGCGCTGCCAATCAACCTTATACTAAACGTGCTAGTGGCGGAGAAACCATTCACCTTTATAGGAAAACTGTTTATCGGCCGTCATCGGTGGCCAGGCTAACAAGCCTTAGCATTCATTACATGCTGTACTAGCTGCAGTGTAGCAGAGCAGCGCCACACTGGGGAGTGATTGGCAGCACTAAGGTGAGGGTCCTGAGCCTCTGTGAAATGTGTCTGCCTGTCTGCTGCGGGAGCAGGATGATCTGGACCCTCTGGGGAACCGGTCAGTCCTGTAGAATAATGTTAAACCTGAACATCTGATGGGACAGATTTCTGCTCGCGCTGATCAATTTTATTATTAATTATTATTTGTTTTTCTGGCATCTGTTCACACTATGAGATTCCACAGGTTGAAGCTTTAGTTATCTGGTTCTGAGGTGAGCTGGAACATTTTACCTCCTGTAGCTCCTTCTCCAGAATCGCAGCAGCCTCGGCGTCCAGCTTCCTCTTCTCCTGATCTAACAGGAAACGGCTCCTCAGCTCCATCGAACACTTTAGTCCGTACTTCTTCTGCGTGTGGTCCGAGGTTTCGTCCTGGTCGCCCTGGAGACACAAATCCACTCAGAAACCTTGAAGTCTGAGAGGCGTGTGTGAGGCAGACCTGCCTTAGCCTTGGTGTCCAGCAGGGGGCACTGCTGCAGGCTGAGGTCCATCAGACACATCTCCCTGGCAGCGTAGCCGCTGACGACGTAGCAGTCGTAGTTGAGGCCCAGCAGCAGGCTGCAGAGCAGGGTGGACGACTCAAAGCTGGTGGCCTTCTGGCTGCGCAGCACCGCTGTGGGGGAGAACAGCTGGCCGGGCTGCAGGGCCCGGTCCACAGCAGGACGGTCACACACTCTGAGGACATGGACGCGTGGTCCTGATCTAACGCTCTGATTAACGGGTCAGAAGTCAGACAGATCCTTAAACAGAGAGCTTAACGAGGAACATGGGGGACATTTAGCCTGTCCACAAGACACTTAACTGGCCCACTTATCTTTACCAGGCGTGTGTGTGTGTGTGTGTGTGTGTGTGTGTGTGTGTGTGTGTGTCTCTGTGTGTGTGTCTCTGTGTGTGTGTGTGTGTCTCTGTGTGTGAGTGCGTGAGTGTGTGTGCGTGTGTCTCTCTGTGTGTGTGAGTGAGTGTGTGTTGCCATACTGACCACCTGCGTGGGCGGCTCCAGTAGCTGCAGGGACAGGAAGTCGGCCACCAGTGAGGAACACTCCTGCCAGCTCTGGAGCTCCCACAGGCCGGTCTCTGTGGGACGGAGAGTGGTGGACACAAACTTCTGGACGGGACAGGACAGAGACAGTTCTGGGGCTCAGAGGGTTTAATGGTGGAAGCAGATTTTAATTGGGGAGCGGCTGTTACCCTGACTCCATACTCATTGACCGGGTAGAGCAGCAGAGGCGTACGGTCAGGATGCAGCAGCAAATACTGACGCTGGAAGTTTTCTGCCATCTCCAGCAGGTGCTCCTCCTTCTGAGAGTTGCTCTTGTAGGGTTCAGGGCTGCAGATGGACAGCAGGGGGCGACACTCACTCACCTCAGAAAATGCTTTCAGTTTTTGACAGAGGGAACAATGCAGAGTTTCTAATCTTGTCGTCTTTAGATTAAGAAATTTATCTTCAATCAGATTCTGAGGGACTCGGTTCATTCAAAATGCTATTAGTCATTTTAAAGAGATGATTGGCAATTCTTTCACGAAAGTTAAAGTGACAGAAGTAACAGTTTGAAAGTATAATGTCAAAAGTAAAACTATGGGTACTGCTTTGAAATAGATGTGCTTTTCAGCAAAATTATGGAAAAATCAGTTCAGAACATTTTATCAGACAAAAACGATTAAGTCAAAAACACATTTGAGTTAAGGAGGAGAAAGTCATGCTGCTTTCAGCTCATATTAATCTAATGTATAGAGCCCTGGACATTAAGTTTGTAATTATTCAGAAAGAGAAAAGATGATACGAGATTTTACTTCTTCCTGCTCCCTTTTTAAGATAGTTTGTTAATTAAAGTGAATTAATTTGTTAAATTGAGTGAATAAACAGACTGATTGAAAATTTGACACTTGGATAAAAGCTAAAGAAAAGCTGCAGCAGGTTTCTCTGGTTATTTCAGGGCTGTTGTCTGTAACCCTGAACATCGTCTGCAGCTTCAGGAATAAACCTGTTCTGTTCACTATTTCTGCCCTCCTCAGCTGCCTGCAGGCTGTTACTGCTGGAGTTGCTCACATGAGCAGATCGATGCTCACATCCTCCTCCTCCTCTTCCTCCTCTTCCTCGCACAAGGCCAACTTCTTCTCCATCTCTTGAAATTCATCGTCAAACACGAACCTCCCAGAGCCCTTCATTTTCCTCTGGAACAGTAAACATGGTTTTACGCTGCGTTTGTAAAAACCTGAAGAAAATCTTTCACTTTTAAAATAAATTAAAAACACACAGCAGGTTGTTTCTGTCTGCGAATCTGCTCTTCACAACCATGAACTTTGTTGTTTTTACCTGGATTTCATTCGAGATCAACAGAAAGTAGAACTAAGATGTGAAATTAAGAACCGTTTTAAAGCTTTTCATGAACAAATACCTGAGAGCTTGTTGGAATAAGTAAATAATCGCATGATAAATAAAAATAAGCTGGATAATTTTAGTTGTGGTGATGTTTCAAACATTTCTATATTGTGCAGGAATATCTGCTGTTGTTGGATCCAGGAGCCATTAGTCATTTCATTTGAAAGAATTGTCTTGAATAAATGTTTGTAGCTATTTTCCACCAACTAATAAAAACTATTATAGTGATTTTTACAGGCTGGAGGTGACATGAGGTCAGAGTGAAAAGCAGGAAGAAGCAGCACAATGAAAACCCTGAACGTTGCTATGCAACAGACAGAACGTTGCTATGCAACAGACCGAAGCTAAAGGAGCTAACTGTTGCTAACTGTTCTGTTGCTAACTGTTCTGTTGCTAACTGTTGCTAACTGTGGTTGAACCGCGACATAAAAACTACTTTAAACCAGTCAAATTAATTATCGAGTCGGCGAATTAAACAGGCCAGTCTACAGAAAACATCAGAAACATTTACTCACCTGATCTAAATCATATCGGAATCGTTTAAAAAGCAAAGAAATCAGCGATTTGAAACCAGAAACTTTAACTAAAGCAGTTAAAACAGGACCGCTGGTTCTCTGTATCCATAGTAACAGAACGACCACGTGACGCGTTACAAAGATGCGTTCACGTGGCCTCGGAGATCGCAGAACTTCCAACCATTTAGAGTCTCTAGAAGGCAAAAAAACTGCTTTGACTTCTTTGGAAGTTTCGTCTTACACTTTAAGTTATCTGAAAAGACTAAAGCGGAGATGTTTAAAGTGTCTTCAACATTTAAATAAGAGCTTTTTACAGCAACATTTCCAAATGCTGGTAAAGTTTACTTTCAGAAATAAACTTTGAGCTATAAATTGGAATAAGTGGAAAACTATTTTATTAATGACTCACACACAATGTTTTTTTAAGCAATTTGTCCTGATTTCAGCCTTCCAGCTCCACATTGACTGTGCTGCTCCCTATTTACTGTGGATATTTACTGTGGATATTTACTCCCTGATTGCTGTCCCATGCATGACCCTGGATCGTTTCACGACTCGGCCTCTGGTTGGAGGATTTTGTCCCTGTCCTCTGTTTGTCCCCTGAGCCTCCAAGTCCTCCCTACTGTCCCCCGGCTGGATCGCTGACCCCTGTGCATCCCCCCTTCCTGACGTACTGGCGTGACCGCACCCCGTTCAGCCCTCTACACCATTATCTTTTGTAATAAAAACGTTTGGTGAACCTTACACTTGTGTTGGGTTCTGTCTGATTTTGCTTTAATGTTACACAATTTTCACATTTATTTTCTCCTTTGTATTCTAACAATGAAAGTTTTTGTCTTTTTTTATTAAATTTTCAACATTTGTATTTAAGTTCAGACTGATCTAAATCTAGATTTGAAAGAAAAGCCATCAACAACTGCAGGTTACATGACAATGTCAGATATATTTGGATTAAACATGAACTGTTGGACAAACTGGGCTATAATGAAACAAAGATGCCTTTGCACTTAATTTGCTTCCAACAAAGTGAATTCAGTTTAAACTATAAGCTTTACTACAAAACCCATGGCTGTTTATATTAAAAACATTAAATATTGGTAATATTTTATTTGCTGATCCATCACTGAACTCTGTTTCAGTTTGGTCGTCCTGTTTCTCCTGGTAGAAGACATTTCCGTCCGGCTGCTTCATCCACCTCAGTCTGATCCCTGCAGTCACCCCTCGGTCCTTCAGCTTCTGCTGGAGCTGAAATGAATTGAAATCAGCACCAAATCAAGAAATGTCCCCATAAAGGACAGGTGAGACCTGCAGCCAGACTTGAGAGCGTGAGACGTGTTGGACCTGTCTCAGCAGGCCTGCCTGCACAGCGCCGTCCTTCAGGTCCACAGAGGAACTTCCCACCAGCTTCACCTTCATCACATGGTTTGTGGACGGGATTTCTGCAGAAACACGGAGCGTTTCATTAGCATGTGTTTGGACCTGCCTCCATCTGTGATCATCAACTTTTATCGATCAGCTGACCGTAGTAGCAGATGAAAGGTTTAGTCAGGTGACATTCCCAGTCCACCCAGTGTCCGGAGTTGGTGAAGTCCATTGCTGCACAGTTCTCCAGTGGACCGTTGGGTTCTCCAGCGTTCCAGTACGGATATGTGAGAAGGGATCCGCTGGACCACTTCCACTGGTCTCTGAAGAGCCCGAGCCAGACGGCTTCCTTTGCAGGTTTGGCTGCCTTTAGGTTGTCATTGTCAGCTGAATGTCTCACACTGGCCAAGTCAGTGTGGTGGGTTCTGCAGTAACTCTGAGCCTGAGTCCAGTTCATCAAGGTGTTGATGACTGTGAAGGTCGCCGTTAGCCCTGAACACAGAGAGGGGCTGATGGTGGAGATGTTGTATTCTGATGTTTAAACTGCAGTCTGCAGACAGTAACTCCTCAGGCTTCTGATGTTTTGGCTCATATTAGTTCATCTGCATCCAAGAAAAACTGCTAAACTTTTATTCTTTTTGCAGAAGAATTGAAACCTCTGCAGAGAGGAACTGGTAGCATATTCTCTTTAGATATAAAACATAATAAGCCTCAACTTTTGCTGTTGACCTTTTTTTGTTTTCCCAAAACATTTTATTCAGCTATTATAAACCCGGGTGGAAAATTTCAAAAACATTTGAATTACAAAGTGTTGCATTGCTGTACTTTGAGAAACATGACAACAGAAAAAGTTAAATGAAAGTAAAATAAGCAGCTCACCGCTGACAGTAGAGCAGATCGGTTTACGCTGAACATCACAGCCAATATCGTTCCAGTCTCCGTTTTCAAGCATCTCCAGGCAGGCCTCTCCGTCCCAGGCGTTGTCCGGTTGTTTGGACGGCCAGTTTCTGTAGAGAGCCTCAGAGTTTTGGTAGAAAGCTTCGTCTGACAGGGACCACCTCCAGCTGCCCACATCATCATACAAACCAATCCAGGCCTGCAACCAACAGCAGCTGCTTTAGCACCAACGGCTGAAACCATTGATTGGTTCAGTTATTATGATGAATATTTGACAATCTACAGCTGAAAAGTTGATATTAACTACATGCAAAGACGTATGACTCTTGTCAGCAGTCTGAAGGTTGGTTGCACCATTTGCTTGTCGTTGTGTATTTATAATCTGACCTGGGGTTCAGTGAGCCTGGCCGTTTCCTTCCTGCTCAGTCTGGGTTTTCAGTCAACAGACAGACAACAATGATGTCACAGTTTGTGCTGCCCTCACTTCACAATATCTATTCTAAAAAATCTGTTTATTTTTACAAAGTATTCAAATCTGAGAGGAAACTTTATTCTTTAATTCTGCGGCTGAGAAGAAATGCATTCAGTAGAGCATTGCTGCCTTGCAGTAGGAAGGTCTAGGGTTAGAATCCAACCATCCCTTCCTTGCATGTTCTCCCTGTGCATGAGATGGTTCTCTCTGGGTACTCCGACAGACTGCGATGGTCCAGACGCCTGAACATAGTGGAGAAAAGCTCCACGGCGCCTCAATGAGGAGACGAAGGTTTTCAGGCTGAATCTGATGGTGTGTCAGTCGGTCCTACTTACATAAAGAGATTTGCATTCATTCCTGACAGCGATACCCTGAGTCAACACCTCCACTGAGTCAGAATGACAAGTGATTAACTTTGCAAACTTTATGGAAATAGATCCTGGAAGGCAGCAGAGGAAGCAGAGAGTTAAAGGAACCACAAAGATTTGTTTGTTATGAAGCTGCATGTCAGGTCAGGTGTAGCTGCTGGATTAGGAAGAGTTCAGACCCAGAGGTTCAGCAGAGAGGAAGCAACAACCATTTCACACTTTACTGCAGGTTAGACTCAAAGGACTGAAGCTGAGATAGAGAAGTGTGTTTACGTCAGTTATGGCGGCCATTTTGTTCGAGTCGACCGTGTTCCTGAGGGTCGTGACGATCTGGGCGCTGTCCACAGTCACCAGGTCTGTGTAGGTTTTCCTGCAGTAGCTCTGAGCGGCGCTCCAGCTCATCGGGTCATAAACGAAGTGGAACCGAACCTCAGCGGAGACGGCCCAAAGAGCTGCAGCAACACGCAGCACAACGACAGCTTAAAAGCTCATCCAGCACCAACTAAAAGCCTCTTAACCTCAAGATTTACTCCAACAAAAATACAAAGATTTAATGAGAGAAAGTTGTTATTTATACAAAGCCTCACAAAAGTATTCACACCCTCCTACCTTTGCAGTTGTCAGTTTTTCAGGACTGGTTCATTTTGATTAATCAGTCAAATGTTATTGTATAGCACATTTCAGCAGCAAGGCATTTCAAAGTGCTTTACATCATAAACACAAAGTCATGCATCATGGAATCAACAATACATTGTTCCATATTAAATTTCAAATAAAACTCTATACAGGTGTGTTTTTAAAGGAAGTCAGGGTTTCTGCTGCTTTACAGTTTTCTGGAAGTTTGTTCCAGATTTTTGGTGCATAGATGCTGAAAGCTGCTTCTCCTCTCTTGGTTCTGGTTCTGGGGATGCAGAGCAGAACCAGAACCAGAACCAGAACCAGAACCTGAGAGTCTGGAAGGTTGATACAACAACAGCAGATCTTTGCCAAACTGTTCAGTGATTTGTAAACTAATGTTGACCTTTAGACTTTTAGAGGCAACAAGAAACTGAAAGTCCTATTATGAGTTTACAACCAGCGTAGATTGAGGTTCCTGCACGTCCCTCAACCATCATGGTGGTGGCAGCATTATGCTGTGGGCTGATGGAGCTGAATCCAGGTAAATCCTGGAAGAAAACCTACGACTGGCTGGAGGTTCAACCACCCTGACCATGCAGCCACGGTTCCATGTCTTAGAATGGTCTAGTCCAGGGATGGGCAACTCCAGACCTGCAGGGTCTCCTGCAACTTTTAGATGCGTCTCCATTTCAACACTCCTGAGTCAAATAATGAGGTCAAATAATGAGGTCAAATAATGAGGTCATTAGCAGGACTCTGGAGAACTTGACTGCATTTAGGAGGCGATTCAACAGGGAGACACGGGAGCTGCAGGACAGCAGCACTCGAGGACCAGGAGTGCACACCCCTGGTCTAGTCAAAGTCCAGAACTCAAGATTCTGTGACAAAATGTGAAAATGAACTTTTATAGATGCTTTCCGTCCAATCTGATGAGCTGCTTTCAGTAGAAAACTGGTAAAAAAGTTCCTGGTTCTAAAAAGACAGACCCGGTGCTTTTTAAGGCTCCGCATGCGTCACATCTTATAGCACTTCGAGTCTTTGCTATAGTTCATAACAGTGATTAAATCAAGAAAACATCATCGCAGTTACCTGATGCACCAGTGATGAAGAGAAGAACTTTCTCCATCCTCCTGTCTCCACTGGTTTCCAGTCTGTGCCTGCTGGTTTCCAGCTTCTCACCTTTAAGCAGCTGAAGACCAGGGACTCCAACTATTTGCATTCAGTGAACTCATGTTTATTTTAACATATATATTCTCAGTCCAAACCAGACATGCTGTTCATTTGACTCCTGGTTTCGCTTCCTGCAGGTGCGACTCACCTGGCAGATCAACGCCTTCAGGACGGACAGACCCAGACACACTGTAGAAAAGGAACCTCAGGGGTTATCACATTAACAAAAGAATATCATGTACTGTTAACTAAATAATTCCATGTTTGAGCCAAAAACATGATACAATCATGTTGCATAAACAAGATATTCCACAACTTCAACTTTTATAAAATTGAATCATGTTGAGCTAACATGATTCATTATAGTCAGACCGATCCTATGCTGAAGACCACGAGTGAGATCAGGGGATATCACGCAAGTTCACGCAAGATTACGGGAAATCACGGGATATCACGCGAGAATACACGAGACAATCGGTTTTCTCTCGCAAATGGAATAAAATGTATTCAAGGTGAGATAACGTGATTCAATTACGTCAGCTAGATCTTCCGCGAAAAAAAAAGAACGTCGGGGCGTTTTACATGAACAAAAGAATATCATGTACCTTTCACACAATAATGTTGGGTTTGAAGCGAAAACGTGATAAAATCATGTTGGATAAACAAGATATTCCACGACTTCACATTTATAAAATTGAATCATGTTGAGCTAACATGATTCATTATAGTCAGACTGATATTGTGCTGACGACAACGAGTGAGATCACGGGATATCACGCGAGAACACGCGAGACAATCGGTTTTTTCTCTCAACTGGACTAACGTGATTGAATGACGTTATCTCAACTTGAATACATCTAATTAACATATATATACCCACCGCGGGTGGTTCTTATCCTCTGAGCTCGGGTCCTCTACCAGAGGCCTGGGAGCTTGAGGGTCCTGCGCAGTATCTTGGCTGTGCCAAGATATATATATATATATATATAATATATATATATATATATATATATATATATATATATATATATATATATATAAAAAAATTCCCTTCTCACCCACCGCGGGTGGTTCTTATCCTCTGAGCTCGGGTCCTCTACCAGAGGCCTGGGAGCTTGAGGGTTCTGCGCAGTATCTTGGCTGTGCCAAGGACTGCACATTTCTGGACTGAGATGTCTGATGTTGTTCCTGGGATCTGTTGTAGCCACTGCTCCAGTTTGGGGGTTACTGCCCCGAGGGCCCCGATGACCACAGGCACCACTGTGGTCTTCACCTTCCAGGCCCTCTCCAGTTCTTCCCTGAGGCCCTGGTATTTCTCCAGTTTCTCGTGCTCCTTTTTCCTGATGTTGCAATCACTTGGTATTGCTACATCTACCACAACGGCTTTCCTCTGATGTTTATCCACTACGACAATGTCTGGTTGGTTCGCCATTACCATTTTGTCTGTCTGGATCTGGAAGTCCCACAGGATCTTAGCTCTGGCGTTCTCCACCACCTTTGGGGGTGTTTCCCACTTTGATCTTGGGGTTTCCAGTCCATATTCTGCACAGATGTTTCTGTACACTATGCCTGCCACTTGGTTATGTCGCTCCATGTACGCTTTCCCTGCCAGTATCTTGCACCCTGCTGTGATGTGCTGGACTGTCTCAGGGGCCTCCTTGCACAACCTACACCTTGGGTCTTGTCTGGTGTGGTAGATCTGGGCCTCTATTGCTCTGGTGTTTAGGGCCTGTTCCTGGGCGGCCAGGATGAGGGTCTCTGTGCTGTCCTTGAGTCCAGCTTTTTCCAGCCATTGGTAGGATTTACTGATATCAGCCACTTGGGTTATTTGCTGGTGGTACATCCCATGTAGGGGTTTGTCCTCCCATGATGGTATCTCTGGCACCTCAACCTCCGTTCCCTGTTGTCTGAGACATTCACTGAGCACATTGTCTGTTGAGGCTTTGTCCCTGATGTATTTATGGATCTTAGTTGTTTCGTCCTGGACAGTGGTTCTCACACTCACTAGTCCTCTGCCTCCTTCCTTGCGGCTTGTGTACAGTCTCAGGGTGCTGGATTTGGGATGGAACCCTCCATGCATTGTTAGTAGCTTTCTGGTCTTAATATCTGTGGCTTTTATCTCCTCCTTTGGCCAGCTAATTATTCCAGCAGGGTATCTGATTACTGGCAAGGCATAGCTGTTTATCGCACGGATTTTGTTCTTGCCATTGAGCTGGCTTCTCAGGACTTGCCTTATTCGTTGGAGGTATTTAGCTGTGGCTCCTTTCCTTGTGACCTCATCGAGGTTGCCATTTGCTTGTGGTATACCTAGGTACTTGTAACTGTCCTCTATGTCTGCTATTGTTCCTTCTGGGAGTGTGACCCCTTCTGTGTGGATGACCTTCCCCCTCTTTGTGACCAGCCGACCACATTTCTCTAGTCCGAATGACATCCCAATGTCCGTGCTGTAGATCCTGGTGGTGTGGATCAGTGAGTCGATGTCTCGCTCACACTTGGCGTACAGCTTGATGTCATCCATGTAGAGTAGGTGACTGATATTGGCCCCATTTTTGAGTCTGTATCCGTAGCCAGTCTTGTTGATAACTTGGCTGAGGGGTTCAGGCCTATGCAGAACAGTAGCGGGGACAGAGCATCTCCTTGGTATATGCCACATTTGATGGACACTTGTGCAAGTGGTTTGCAGTTGGCTTCAAGGGTGGTTTTCCACAGCCTCATCGAGTTTGCAATGAAGGCTCTCAGAGTCCTGTTGATGTTATACATCTCTAAGCATTCAATGATCCAAGTATGCGGCATTGAGTCATAGGCTTTCTTGTAATCAATCCAAGCCATGCAGGTTGGTGTGTCGGGTTTTGCAGTCTCGGGCAACTGTGCGGTCTACGAGGAGTTGGTGTTTGGCTCCTCTGCTATTTACACCGATACCCTCTGTGCCGTGCTCATGTGTTTATCCATGTGTTTGCTTATCTTGGCCGCTATGATGCCTGACATGAGCTTCCAGGTTGTGGAGAGGCAGGTTATTGGTCGGTAGTTGGGTGGGACTGGACCCTTTGATGGATCCTTCTGGATTAGGATTGTCCGCCCTTCAGTTAACCATTCAGGGTGAGTCCCACTTTGTAGCAGCTGGTTCATTTGGGCTGCCATTCGCTCATGGAGAGCAGTGAGTTTCTTTAGCCAGTAGGCATGGATCATGTCAGGCCCTGGTGCTGTCCAGTTTTTCATACCTGAGACTCTTTCTTGGACATCTGTCACAGTGATGGTTACCGGGGCTTGCTCAGGGAGGTTGTTGTGGTCCTCTCGTAGAGAGATCAGCCACTGTGCATTGCTGTTGTGGGACGCCTCCCTTTCCCATATGCCTTTCCAGTATTGTTCAGTCTCCAGCCTTGGTGGGTCTGCTCTGTTGTTATTACCCTGCCATTGAGAGTACACCTTAGCTGGTTGAGTGGGAGAAGAGCCGGTTAATCCTTCTGGATTCATTCTCCCTTGTGTACTCTTTAGGGGCTGGACAAGGCTTGGAGCCTCTGTTTGGCAGTCTCGAGTGCTTCAAGTATGGGCATCTGCCTGTACTTTCTGGGTACTGGTCTTTTCATTGCACCCTTGTGGAGCTCTGACAGTTGGCTCACTTCCCTCCTTGTTACCTTGATTTTAGCCTCTAACCGTCTTTTCCATGGTGGGTATTGGGTCTCATGGTTGCTCTTATAGCCAAGTATCTCAAGGATCACTGATGCTGAGTTGTAGATCAGCTCATTGGTTTCTGTTATGGTGTTGGTAGGGATCGTTCTCAATGCTGCATTCACATTCTCAATGAGACTTTCAGATGGTACTTCACTCAGCCGTTGTAATTGGCGCCGGGGAGGCCTGGTTGTCATTCGGGTCATGATTCTCTCTCTCAGGTCAGCAGCTGTCTCGTTCAGCTCTGTTTCGCTCATTGGGGCCGTGTATCCCCTCACTGGGTGGGGACTTGTAGTTAAGTCCCCACAGTCCTGACATCCGGGTTCCTCCCTTTTGCCGTAGCATTTGTGTTGTATCTCGTCAATCTCAAGTTGTGATAGCAGTTGCCGTTTGCGGATGTTGGAACACTGAGCTACTAGTTGTTTAGCGCTTAGTGTTGACTGGGGATGTCGAAGTAACCATTCCTTCCCCAGTTTGCATGTAACCCCTCTGACTAGGGTTACTTGAGTAGTAGCATTCCAACAGATCCACATTTTCATCTCTCGCCCATTTCCGTCTTGTTCCAGTAGCCCATTTGTCATCAAGGTGCTCTGGTTCCCCAACACCTGACGCAGACCTTGTTTGGCCGGGCGACGTCTGAGCCGGCATGTTATGCAACTTAGTATCTCTCATGGTATGAGGTAGGCAGTAGCTTGAAGGGTCTTGCCTAAGGACCCAGACTGGATTCGAACCCTGCCCTCTCGGGTGATATACTGATGCCTTATGTATTGAGCTATCCAGTCATATATATATATATATATATATATATATATATATATATATATATATATATATATATATATATATAAAAAA